GCAACACCGATGATGAGAACATTGCGGCCCTGGATATGGACATTGACATCGAGATTTAATCTCAGTCAAGAATGCTGCTTTGTCTTGCGTTTCAGTTTGATAACGTCTGTTCGGCGAATCGATTTACTTGAGAAGATTCGTTGGTTTTGATTCCATGATTCCCCCGAACAAGTCTAATTTCTCAAGGACCCGTGGCGGTGATTGGCTCAAAGCCTCGCCTGCATTGTGATTGTATCTTTTTTTTTTCTTTTTCTTTTTCTTTTTTCTTACGCGATATTTGAGGAGTCCATGGGTGATCTCGGCGTCTATTCACAAAATAGCATCAAGCTTTGTATTATGAGATTCCTGGGAATAACAGCATGAGCAATACTCCCATCGTTGTTAGCAGTGCAGCATTGATCTACCGAAAGAGGTACTTTCATCAAAATCACACCAAAACCCCCTACAAAAAAAGATTAAAATGAGAAAATATCACTTGCTATTACAATACTCATTTCCATAGTTGGCCGTAACAATAATAAATCCACCACTTGGGAGAGAAATTAGACGATAAGATAAGGTCACGTGTGGGGCCTAGCAACGCGAGGAACGCGCATCGCGTTCAGACTATGCGTCCTTGAACCTGGCGTCCACTCCACCTTATTCCGGACCTTGGAAGTCTCAAAGCCCGCCTCCAGGTACAATCGATATGATTATGGGAATTATTTCCTAAAGCCCACCATAATTGACCATAATATTCACGACATGTCTTCACCATCCACGCCACGGTCGACGCGTTCTGCGTCGCCCACAGGCGATTCGCCGAGCATTATTACGCCCGGCCAGAAGATCAAGGCCATGATGGCGGCATTCGACAGTGATTCAGAAGACGACACACAAATTGCCAAGTCAACAAATGCTGTCTCGAAGCTTGATCTAGGGCGTGATTCGGTGCCGGCTGCTGGTACACGCGAGAATGGCCCATTGTACGACTCAGCAGGCGATTCAGACAGCGCAGATGAGATATTCCGACCAAAGGGCCGTATGGCTGCCCGTTTACAGGGTAATTCTAGACCGGCTGAACCCGATAACGAAGATTCAGCATTTGCTCGCGTGTCAAAGGCCATCCGATTAGAAAAGAAACAGGACGAGACGCCCCAGCAGACAGAACCACAACCCACACCCATCGGCGAATCAAGTGATGATGATGATGACCTACCTACGGCCGGTCCGAGGAGAAAGCATAAATCCACAACCAACTCGCCCAGGGCCGATAACAGAACGAGCCAAAGCCCTTCCCGTTCCAGGCCCGACTCTCCCCTCTTCGTATCCTCTCCAGGCGAACCGCATGACAACCCAGACACCCAAAACGAAGACACAAAAAATGCCACTGAGAACAAGCCCAAAGGAAACGCCCGTTTCCTGTCTCTTGTTGCTCAAAAGCGCAAGGAACGCGAGGAGCGAGAGAAAGTTGAAGCGGAAAAGAAGAAGGCCATTCGAAAAGCTCAGCTGGAGCAGTTTAGCTCGCAGATCCTCTCAGGTGAGGAGAGCGGTGCCGATGATCCCCGTTCTGCGAGCAAGCTCTCCCAGAAGGCTCGCCAGCCTCGCAAAGCCAGCAAGAAGGCACTGGATGAAATGAGACAGGAGACTCAGCGAATGAGCCGCAACATGCAACTAGCTCACCAGGCCAAGACAAAGAAGAAAATTACCAAGGAAACCCTCTTCGCCAAATTCAACTTCATGCAACCCGCCACCCCGGCCGAGCAGCTCGCGACAAATTCATCGTCAGCAGTCGGGTCACAAAATTCCTCTGACGGAGAACTACGCAATAAAACCAAAGATACCCCACATACTTCTCCAATTCCCGGGCATTTGGACGCCACCAAGTCGATTGCTGATTCTGAGCATGCCCAAGTTCAAGCAGCAGATGTGGATATGGATATGGATGCCGGCACCGAAGATTTACCTGCCCCGAAGGACCTCCTGGCATCAAACCAGCATCCTGCATTGTCCAAGAGCCCTGCAGTCCAAGAGGTCCCAACTTTCGTACCTGAGCCCAAACCCGAGGGTGCAAAATTGAAGAGGGTTTCGCGCCCACTGACACAACCACCTATCCGCGTGCTGCTTTCCAGGCAAGAGGTTGCTGCACACCAGAAAGATTTGGACGATTCTGATAGCGATCTTGAGGTGGTAACATCCCCTGGCAAGTGCCGTCGCATTGCAGCATTCGAAAACCTGCCTACTAGGCAGATGCATGAAGACCCCTCTATGACCAAGCTTAAGGCATTGGCGCACCTCACATCTCCTACCCGAAAAATGGCTTCCATGAACTCCGCAGAGCTTTCCGCAAGTCTATTATGGCGGGCCCGACAGCAAGCGGCTAAGGAGCGCCAGGAGCGCATCGAAGAGCTCAAGGCCAAGGGAGTGGTCATTGAAACAGCCGAGGAGCGTGCAGCGATGGAGGATGACATGGAAAATCTCGTCGATAAAGCACGCAAAGAGGCTGATGAAATTCGCCGACAGGAGAAAGCTGCTAGGAAGAAGGCCAACGACGATGATGACGAAGACGAAGATGATGACTATGAGCTTTCGGGTTCTGACCAGGAGGGTGATGGCGAAGGAGACGATGAAGACGATGAAGACGACCAGGAGGAAGAACACGAGCGCGTCAATGGCGGCGGGGATCTCGTCGAACAAGAAGCAGATGAAAACGACGATTCCGCTGACGATGAGAGTGAGGTCGCTCCTTCAGATACAGAGAACGAGATGCCTACCGCGAGACGGAAGCGACCAACTCGCGTGATTAGCGACGACGAAGACGATGACCAACCACAATCACCTTCAACGCCTGTGAGAGCGCCAAGTTATGTCCCACAGTCCGCCGAACGACCCAACTTCCTCGGGATGGGAACACCAGGTGACATGTCCTTAGGTCTGACGCAGGCATTTGCCTCCACATTGGATGGCAATGGTGCTAGCACTCAGGTGGAATCTGCCACCATGCCATTCTCTCTTCCAGACCCTGGTCGGCCTGTTCCTCAACTTCGAAAGGAGGAATCGGAGGTTCTTGTTCCAGACAGCCAGCCCCAGCCTCAGGACAAAGACTTCATGGAGGGCTACGCACAAAGTGTGACCCGAGTCTCGGAGTCGCCTGCGCCATATGCCTTCTCGGAGTTTTCCCAATCCCAGCTGCCAGACCCAACCCAAGACGAGGGCTTTGTATTCTCACCATTCGATCCAGCAAAAAGATTCAGGGGTACCCCGCCCATGTCTACCGTCGACACGGTCCTTGTGGGTCAAACTCAGTCTCCCATTGCTGACCGCAAGCGCAAAATGTTGCGGCGCGGACGTGCAGCTGAACTTTCCCAAGTCGACGAGAATGAGAATGAAGGTGATTTTGAAATCAACGCCAATGCCTTCAATGTCATGAAGAAGGATAAGGCTGTAAAGAAGAATCCTGCACCGCAATACAACAAGAAAAACAGCAAAGCGAAAGAGATTGTCGATGAGGCCGCCGAAGAATCGGAGGATGAATACGCAGGCCTTGGAGGTAACAGTGACGAGAGCGATGGCGAAGAAAATGCCATTGATCGCCAGATGATCAATGACAACAGTGGCGAGGTGGTTGATGAGAAGCAACTTGCCGCACTCAATGCGTATGTTCAGAGTTTGGTACATGGCCAATGGAAACATACTAACATCCTTACAGGGTTCACGATCGCAACCGTGACGAGAAAAATGTCGCCAAGTTGATGAAAGATATCACGACTGGCGCCCTCCGTCGTCGCAAGAATGCGGATGATGACTTTGACCTCGACGACTCGGACGATGAGCACCTAGCACGTCGCCGTGAGAAGCAACGCGAGTTCGCTAAGATGCGCCGCGCTCTACTTGCAGATGAGAAAATCGGCGAGATTGCCGAGAACCCCAAGAAGGCCGCATTCTTCAAGGCCGTTGAGGACCATGAAGTTGATGATGACTTCAATATCGACTTCCTGGAGGAAGAAGAGGGCGCATCCCAAGGAGAAGCATCGCAGGACCCCGCTTCAGGAGAACAATCTAATGACGCAACGAGTGATGGTCAAAACCGCAAACGCCCTCTCGAACCATCAGCTGAAGATGCAACCAACCGTCCGCCTGCTCGCCTCCGTCGCACCCCCGCCAGTGCAATGTCAAAGAAGCCAGCCACCATAGCAGAGATTCGTGAAACGTTGTCCTTCCTCACTGAAACCCCCGAATACGACTCCTTCCAAGACGACGCTTCTCTCGATGATGCAGAATACGGGCAAGAAGATGAAGATACTCCCGGTGCGGATGAAGGCGATGACAATCAACCACAACCAGACACCACCTTTGCCAAACCCAGCCATCCACGCCGCACGCGCGGAGTCGTGGTCGACCGTCTTGCACTCCTCCGACAAGCATCCTCCAACTCCGCCACAGGCACTAACACTGGCTCTGCAAACTCCAAGCTCGCATTCCACAGCGGCAGCGACGGAGAGGGTCCTATTGGATTCCGGCCTCCTCAACTTCTGCGTCGTGTCACAACTGGCTCTTCGTCTTCCAGTAGCTCGAGCGCCTCCAACCGTGTCTCCAAAGCTGCAGCTTCGGGTCCCAAGAAGGGCGGTGCCGTGAACTCTTATACAGCTGCCCGTGAGCGTGAGCGTGAGAAGGAGCTCCGCATTAAGCAACGCAGCGGGGGATCGAACATTGCCAAGTTGCTGGGTAAGCATACTGGTGGTGGTTTGGGTGGCCTGGATAAGGGCCAATGGGACTAAATGGGACTAAATTTCTGGATGGGTACGCGGTTGCTTTTTTATGTTATGGTATGATGGAATGGGACTGGTTTCCCGGAGTTTTCAAGCCATATATGGATTTCGAGCATTAGGCGTATTGTTCATGATTCACGCTACATATTCAATCAAACAATTAGATTGCACATTTCTCTACTGATCTTTCTTAGCACCAAGTTTTGAGTAATTTATGTGTTCTTTTTGCTCCACGACGACGACACTTAACGGCTAACGGGTCTGTGGATTCCACCTACAAAAACCAAAAAAAAGATGTGCATCATCCGTGAATCGAACACGGGCCTCGTCGATGGCAACGACGAATTCTACCACTAGACCAATGATGCAGAAGAACCAGCCGAATCTGAGAGCTGATTCGTTGGCGATGTAAGAGAGCTTGCTATTGAAGTAGAAGAGTGGAAAACACGTAGAACTACAAAATATGCCATTGACATTCGAACAGAATGGATGTAAACCAACACTATAGAAAGATTCATTTGTTTTGCTCTTCATAATCGTAAAATCCTTGGCCATTCTTAACGCCCAGACTTCCACCTTGAATCATCTCCCGAAGGTATTCCCGCGGCTCTGTAGGAATACCACTCCGAGTTTCGGCGTAGTGATTCTCAATGTCCAACACAACATCTAAGCCGACAACATCCATCTGTTCACATGGGCCCTTGGGTGTCTTCAAGACATCTTTGAAAATGGCATCAATTTCTTTAGGTGTGGCAACACCTTCGGACAATGTGAGAAGAGTCTCTCGCTTGATAGCAGCCCAGATCCTTGGAGATGGTTATAAGCCTGATCGTACAGTGCAGAGAAAGAACCTTGAGAGAATAACTCACCTATTGTATATGTAGCCAATAGAGTCTTGCTTGACGTGGAAAGGTGAGAATCCATGTTCTTTACATTGCCCCAAGACTAGATCAATCAGCTTAGGATCGCTATCCTTGTGGCCCATGATTTCAATTGCTAAATTACAAGTTAGCAATTCGAACAAGAAAATACTATAATTCGGAATAAGCAGTACCGGATGTCTCTGGTGGCCAATCTGACACAGAGTATTAGCGAAGCAGTCCATTTAGCATTGGATAGTCACCTACAGCAGTGCGCGCTCATAACTCTTTTGCTGTTTTTCAAGTTCATGCCCTCGATAATCTCAAATATACCGTAGCTACTCGAGTTCGAAGCAATAATTGTACCTTCGGGTGCAAGTTTATCAAGTTGAGTGATCAATTTTCGCTTGAGCTGCAAGTTCTCCGGTACACACTAGTTTCAGGTCATGTCAATCAACTGTCCTATAAGTTAGGTCAAGAGTTAAGTCGTACCTCAACAACGAGCCATGCATCTTGTAGTGTAGATTGCAAAGAAGAGGGCTGGGAAGTCTCAATCTGCCCCCAATCTCCGTCATGGTCTGTAGCATCTGCACGAAGTTGTTCCACATATTTCAGACCATCCTGGAGTTGTTGCTCTTGAAGATCTACCAGACGGACAGTGCCACCTCGGCTTGACCACTTTAACAAGTCAAAACCAAGACAGAGGTTCATGATCTTGAATATCAGTACTTACCATGTGTGCCAGACGTCTACCTTGTGTACCAGCTCCGATGATTACAACAGAACCCTGCGGCTTTTGAATACCTTCCATCTCCAATGTTGAAGCAGAGCGGGCCCTATGGATTGAATTTCGAGAAAATGCAGCAGGACCAATTCCCCAACGTTTCGGGAAGATTCCACAGCGAGGATAGAGATCACAATATAAGTTCGGAGTCCAATGCGCAGTTTGGTCCCGCACCCGTAGCCGACGGATATGCGGGGTGTACAGCGGGACATGGCGGCACAATGGACGGGCACTTGATTGGTTATGTATATATCCCGAGGCATTCAACGTGGAAATCCTCATTTTCGGTTTGATCGTCGCATTATAGATTGATTTGGTAAAAACGGGTTGAAAGAGCCTAATTAATCCCTTGTAGGGAGGAAAGGCGGGTCCAAAATAATACGGCGAAGAGTCGCGAACTAAATACACAATATATCTGCAATGGATATAATCTTCCTATTTACCGTGATCCTCACTTGTTGAATGTTCACAAACATGATTTCCATTGCTCGGTGCTCCTCCACGGTAATGAATGGACCTGGGAGAGTTTGAGCACTAGAACCACATTGACGATAACCAGTGATAGGCAAGGGTCCCCGGTACCATCTGCAGATGTGTTATGCTCAGTACAATTTTGGGGCACGGTCTCGAGATTGCGCTTTGTGTGTGCCGGCGGAAAGGAAAGTCTCTGCGGGAATTGTGTAGCAAAATCTTTCAGAGCCAAATCAAGAGCTGGTTGCTACCAAGTAAGCTCTAGTGGTAGAGAGAAAGGTGGTGTGTGGTCTGTTCCAGAGAGCGAAGCATGGTACCGAAGTGTCCGAGGTAATTAGCACAGACTCACGATATGTCAAGAGATTTGGATGTTGTCGTTGTGTCAGTTTGATACATAGAATAATCAGATTCCCGAAGCCTAGGTAGCATCGAGGCTATCTTCTTGACTTGTGGCTCGATATAAATTGTCGAAGGCTGACTTTGATCAAGTTCAACTGTGCATCTGCCGTCCGCCGTCTGTTGACAGTGCTTTTATGGGAAACGCTCCAGTTTATCTGCTAACTTTAGGAGATTTAGGAATGCCTTCGGTTCATAGTCCTCGGTATGATCTCGAATAAGCAAATAGCTCTCCCAGCCTGCATCCCTTGCAGCCTGACAATCCTTTTTATGATCATCCCCCACATGCACAGATCTGAATTTGGTTCTGCTGGTCAACCATGGGCGGGCAACCTTTAGAGCTTGCCGTCTCGCCACGTCAAATATCAAACGATGAGGTTTCTCTTGACCGGCTTCATAACTCGTAATGACCATATCAATATCAAGTTCATAGTTGCAGTCTTCATGATCTTTGTTGTGTGCACTGGCAGTATCTTGTTTGATATTTCGTTCCTCGAACCCTGGAAGATCCATACTCGATTTATCCTGGTCGGCGCGCATATCACCAACCGTCAACCCCAACGACTTCAGCACCGCGGGGACGCGGTCATCCGAATTGGATACCACCCCCACAACAATCCTATCAAATGACCACTTATGCGCGGACTTGAGACGGCGCATTCGGCGGAAGAAAGGTAGCACATCGTCATAGAGCGCGTACCCCTCGGCACCAGCAAATCGATCGAGTAGGGCTTCCACCATGGCATCAGAAACATGCTCTTTGGGGGTTCCAGGGCGCGTCTCTCCATTCTCTGTAGACAAAACACGTCTGAAACTCCCCCTGATTACCTCCTCCCACCACTGCCTCGGCCCTCCGTATTGGCCTCGGAGAACATCCGCGCGACCGTAATTTGGGTATTGACGCATCTGCGCACGATATGTGTCCCGGAACGCTGTTTCGAGCTTATTCGGGGTGACAGTGGTGCGCGATAATCCGAATTGGTGCGCGGTCGCGGCATATTGCTCGGGGATGGGGAGACGCGGGTAGAAGAGGGTGCCGAAAGCATCGAAGGTGAGGAGAAGAGTACGTGAATGTGCCGGTATAAGGCGGGTAGTTGGGGCCGACATTTTATGCCTGGAGAAGAGTGATATCGGTTGAAACAAGGGGTGTTGGAGATGTGTTGAGCTTCGCGCCCTACGCAACGGCCCCACTCTTCTGTTGACTCCCCTCATCTTCCCCATCTTTCCCATATTCAAGGAATTTACAAAACCCTCAATGTTTCAATGCTTGTCGCTGTCAATAGTAATAAGAAGTATTTTGATCTCTGATTTTATTTTAGAACTGACTATGCACTTGTTCAACTCAAAACACAAGCAAAATTATCTCATCGCGCATGACATCAACTTCTATACTACACTTTTAGTATATATCTTCAACTAGATCTCTGTTGATTGAATTGGGTTAGAAAGCAAGCCTGTCTATTTAATGAAATTAGTGGGGAGAAATGCCACAGTGAAGACGTACAGAGAGCAGAGCATCCATATAGCTGTTGAAGTTTAAAGATATATAAATTGTAAATGCCTTCATTCCACCAAGAACGTATTAGATTATATATTTTTATGAACACCCCTACACTCGTATTTTTAAGCTTTATCTAAATTGATTAAACGGGATCTGAGCTACTCTTAACCCCTACATCGTAGCCCTGAGCTCCACCAAATGATCCTAGTATTAGAGCCACTTATGACGACTGTATTAATGCCTGCGTTGTGGGAAGCACCCGATAGTTAACCTGTCACTTTGCCAGTCTTATGTCACAGGGCTTAGCCAAGCTTCACCCTGTAATATATGAAATGAAGAACGTGTTTCATAAAACCACAGGACTCGGAATATCCAACAGAAGAAATTCATGGTTCGGCCTATCGTCGGCATTACTGCCATTGCCAAATCGCGATAACAGATTTGACAGTCTCGCCCAATTCTGAGTGGGCCAGCAGTCTAATGGCAGGATTTCAGTGTTGGAAAAATGAGCAGATCGTGTTCTAGAAAAGTATGAGCTTGCCTTGATTTGGAACACTTAAGGCCACCGAAGACTGTTCTTCCAAGGTTACTTCTAGAAGGTGATTATGCATCATTACTTGAGGTGGGTCCTGCAATGTGATTCTGCTTATGACATGCTTGGTAAGGACGTTAGGAGAATTTTTATGATATCCACTATCCACTTGGCAAATATTCCAGAACTTTATTCTATGAGTATCCAAGTGCCTAGGCATCTGTGGAACGGTGGCTGAGAGACAGGGGACTTGATAAACGCCTCTTCCATGGAGTACACTAGAATACACGAATCAAACTTGAGGGAACATGTACCCCGTAAAGCTGCAGATTGATTATATCTACGTCAGCGGCAGACTTTGGCTGGGAAAACGTTCTCCCGGAAGAGTAAACGGATACCAAGTGGAGTCATGTTTATTCAGTCTGAGATTTCTTAAAACAGCGGCAATTTAAGTGCTTCAACATCCAGGACCGACATACCCCATCTGGTGTACAAAAATGTATGTTGTAGTTCTGTTCTCCCTTCTTTGTGAGCGTGTGCCGGCTAAACGTTCAAACGAAAACTTGGCAGGCTGTGCCAACCAGAAACTTAGTGCTCTTATCTGATCGCACTATACCTCATCGGTGACATTTGAGGAAATTAAATATCCACGGCGAGCCATGTTTCGCCATGTTTCTGACCAAGTCTTTAACAATTGATCCACCTGGTTTGACTGGATGGGTCCGGCACACTTGTCGCGAAATAGTTAAAATGGCCAACTCCCGTCCCTGACAGGGGTTCTAGATCGGGATTTCTTAGTGAGATCTTATTCCTCCATAAACGTCAAAATGAAGATCTTCCAGGCTGGCCCTCTCGCCATTGCTCTCTCTGTCTTTACAGGACTTGCCTCCGCTTCGGTCTTCCAGAACCACACCTATGACTATATTGTCGTCGGTGGTGGCCCTTCCGGTATCATCAGCGCCGAGAAGTTCGCCAAGGCAGGCAAGAAAGTTCTACTCCTTGAGCGAGGTGTCGGACCAACTGTCGCCACCGGTAATAATGAGACCCTCACATGGGACCACTCATTGACTCCTATCGATCTTCCCGGTCTGTCCGCCGACATCGGCGCGCTCGATGTCTGGAACCAGTATATGTGCACCGACACTGCTGGCAATGCTGCCTGTGTGCTCGGCGGAGGTGTAACGGTCAACTATATGGTCTTCGTTCACCCACCAGCCCGTGACTTCGACGACAAATGGCCCAAGGGCTGGAAGTGGAAGGATGTCGAGTCGGCTGCAGACCGACTCTACAAGCGCAACCCGGGAACTACCCTGCCCTCTGCCGATGGCAAGCGATATGACCAGGGCCTTTACGCTGTGCTGTCCAAGTTCTTTGGTGGCCTTGGTTGGAAGTCGGTGGATATGATCGAGCAGCCGAATGAGAAGCACCAGATCTACAGCTACCCGTCCTGGAACGTGCAGGACCAGATGCGTGCAGGCCCTGTTCGCACCTATCTCCCCGATGCTGTCAAGCAGGACAACTTCCACCTTGCTCTCCGTACTAAGGTGATTCGCTTGGTCCGTTCCGGCGGTCATGTCACTGGCGTCGAGATTCAGACTCCCTCGGGTCGCTCCGAGGTCATTAGCGTTGCTCCCCACGGTCGCGTGGTGCTGGCTGCCGGTGCTCTGTCTACTCCCCGTCTGTTGTGGAACTCCGGTATTGGTGGCAAGACCCAGATTGAGACTGCGAAGAAGAGCGGTGTTGCCGTTCCTCCCAAGGCTCAGTGGATTGACCTGCCTGTCGGTGTCGGTCTCATGGACCACCCCATTTTCCCGATTACCTTCAACACCAACACCTCATTTGGTCTTGTTGACTACGAGGGAGTCCTTAACGGATCCGACTCTCGCGATATCTCCCTCTACCGCAAGGACAGCGGTGTCCTGACCCAGGGTAAGCACCGCATGATCTTCTTCACCTCCGAGGAGATTGATGGCCACACTCAGTACTACCAGGGCTCATGCGCGCCTACTGATGAGGGTGTGGTAACCATCACCGCGTACATGACCCATGGACTCACCTCGACCGGTGTCCTGGGACTTGATGCCAGCGGAAAGACTGTCATTGAGAAGTCGCCTTATCTCCAGACCGCTGCTGACCGGAAGGCCGCCCGCACTTTCATTCAGAAGATGGTCAAGGACATCACGGCTCCCTCCACTGGATTCGAGTTGGAGACCAACACCAATGTCTCGGCCATCATTAAGGCCCAGACTCCTGGTACACACTACACCAGCACTGCCAAGATGGGTACCGATGATGGCCGCAAGAACGGCACTTCCGTTGTCGATACCAATACTAAGGTTTATGGAGTGGATAACCTGGTAAGTGACCTGGAGTAATTTGTTTACTCAAAAGATGATGCTAATCCCCTTTTTCTTAGTTCATTGTTGATGCCAGTATCCATCCCGACCTCCCGACCGGTAACATTCAAGCCGCCGTCATGGTGGTTGCCGAAGCCGCTGCCGCTAAGATTTTGTCCAACTAGGCTAGTCATTATTGAGAAAATAGCCCTGGAGGCGATCAGCGAACCTTCAGAATCCGCAAAGTGGTGAATGTCCGCAACCCCATACATTGTATAATATATATCCGGATAGAGTGTGAGAATTCCGGTCCAAATTGAGTATTTACAGACATATTATATGAAATCTATGAAATCTACGCAGTATGCCACTAGAAAATCCCAACATGGAAAGCATTGGAACATTTACCAAAATTGATAAATCCAATGAAACCCCTGAGTTCCCCGGATCCATCGAAAAGTTTAAATTCTCAAACTCAACGGCTTTTTGACTTTCTCCCCTGACTTTCTCCCCTGCACATCTTTTTCTATGGAATGTTCAGTATGGGTTAGGATATCAATACCCGAAAAGAAGATTTTGTCCGGACTTATACTGCGTATAGGGGCTATCGTCAACATGTACTCATTCTCATTCCTATATCTCTTCTTACACCGCTCGATGCAATGTAATGTAATAGTAATTCAAGTGATATTCAGTGTTCTGCCAGTCTTCATCCCTAGAGACATAATATCCGAAAAGGGGGTGTTTCACTAAAAAATGATCCTATATCTAAAAGAGTAATCCCAAAACAGTACTCCCCCAGGTGGCTGTAGCCTGGCGGCGACGCCTACGGAAGGCGAGCGTCAGCTCCCCCCGCGGCAGAATCACAAAATGCTCGTCGGTCGACCCTCCGCTTTAGCAGAAGTGGAACCACCACGATTCACATTGTATTGTGGATTGACCTTCCCACTTATCCAACAGACTGATGATAACGAATATCAGCATTGAATCTTTTGTCCCCCACCTAACCATGGGTGTGTCTTTTTTTTTGCTTGAAAAAAGAGGGTCCAAAGGTGAGGTATTTCCAGGGCCGTTCCTTTCTTTTCTACATTATTTCATCAAAGAATTCAGGCAAACAGCTGCGTACCCCTGTTACCCCTGTCAATCCCCTGAGGAGATCTGAACTGGTGATATCATTACCAATGCTTAATCCGGCACTCTGCCGGCAAACAAATAACTCACCGCGACTAACAGCAATTAACGGACTCACGGACTCACGGACTCACGGGCATCAAGCCCACCCACTGTGGGGGACTAAGATTATAATCAGCGTTAATATTGCCCACGTGGAGTTTAACCTTCTTCTTACAAATTGATTTGGCAGATAGACTGCTGATCTTAAGGGACCTTAGTAGAGGAGACCACCAATCATTAACCATTTCGACTAGTAAGGTTGGTGTGTCGATCCCCGGTTGACTTCTAAGGTTTACTCCCTACGACGCTATCAATAACAAGCGCCAGTGAATTGGAGGTCGGAGCCCTCATTGCCATGGTGGTATGGAGCCCGGAATACTTTGAAGGCCAAAGAGAATATCTGGCGATGTGTCCCTATAATTGGGATGCTTTTTTTTTATGTCTCGACTAGGGGGCTTTCTCGTCTCAAAAATGAGCTGGATTTGACCGCAAAAATGACGATGTCATCGATGTCTTGGCCTTACCCTGACAGTTCGGGAACTACCCCCGGCTTTGTTTTAGAGTCGAGTGGATGATCTGCAAAGTGGCTAATGAAGATGGGCCTCGTATGAAGCTTATAGCGGAACTAAAACTGTGTGTCTGATCCAATTTTATGTGGCGGCGGCTTCGTTGGCCACTCAGCGTGAAGCTTACGTCTTGGGAGATGAAACTGGGACGCTATTGCTCCATTCCCCATCGGACTCATTTGCGAGACGAGCAGCCCCTCTATCAAGGCATCTGTTAGCTCAGGAGTACACCCAACACGTCAACAGACGAGGGGTCGGACTCGTATCAACGCTGATCCCCTACCAACAGTTATCGTATATAACCCAAGACGTCTTGCCGTGATGTTTGAACTCTAAGAACTTTCTTCTTGTCATTCCTTACCAAGTCATTCCTTAATCTCGGTTTATACCGTCCATTCATTTGTACCAAACAAGTCTTTGAACTTATTCCACTCACTAAACGACAAGATGAAGTCTTTCGCCTTCTCCGCTGCCCTTTTGGCCTCAACTGCTATGGCCTTGCCCGCCAACATCATCCCTTCGGGCACCACCGGCTCTTTGCCTTCTGGAATTCCCTCTTGCCTGCCCTCCGGCGTCGTCCCCTCTGGCATCCCTCTGCCCGTGGTATCTCTGATCCCCACCTGCTCCGGTGCCGCCGCATCCTCGATTCCCACCCCTACCGGCGCCGTCTCCGGCATGACCGAGGGCGCCGGCGCCGGCGCCGGGCAGGTTCTTTCCATCCTCAACCAGGCCGGAACCTCAAACTTCAAGATGATGGCCGAGTCCGAGCTCCAGAGCCTTATGAGCAAGCTGCCCCTTAGCACTCTCGAGAAGCCCGTTGGCCAGGTCGTCCAGACCGCTGAGTCCGTCGACCAGCTCGACACCAGCAGCAGCTCCGGCCTCACCCACGTCACCGCCGTCCTCGAGAATGGCAACGCCGCCCTCATCAAGTTGACCCAGGAAGTTGTTGATCTCCTCTCCAGCCTCGGCCTCGGCGAGGTTGGCAGCCTTCTCGGCTCCATTGTTGGCGGCCTTGAGTCCATCACCGGCAACGTCAAGCGTGCCGACCCTCTCCAGAATGTTCTCTCCATTACTGACGTGAACGGCCTCGCTGGTGGCAAGGACCTTCTCGTCCAGGTTGAGCCTACCGTCCTCGGTCTCCTCAGCGGTCTTGACCTCTCCACCGTTCAGGGCCCCATTGGCAACGTTGTCGCCATGGCTCCCTCCGTCTCCGAGCTCAAGTCCAAGATCCCCAGCATCCCCGGTGCTGACTTCATTGCTGTCAATGCCGAGGACAAGGCTTCCGTCCTTTTGGTTAAGGTTAACGGCGCTGTCCAGGGTCTTCTCTCCACTCTTGGCCTCGGCAGCGTTGGCACTGCCGTCGGCTCCATCGTCTCCTCCGCTAAGGGCGCTGCCTCCCAGTAAATTTTCTACCCTTGATGGGATGATCGTTCTCTTCTACCATTCACCAATCTCATATTTTTATATAAAGGGAATACGACGCCGTGGTTTGCTTTGGAACTAGCGCATGCAACAATAACGAACCCAATGGTCCCCCTTCTACCTACTTCTTGAGCATTATTATGTTTTGTATAGTGTATATATCCTCGAAAAATGTTCTATATCTCTGAATTAAGCTAATTATGTCCAAAACAAAAAAAGTCCGGTTGTAAGGGGTTTCAAACCCCGAACTTGAAAATGGATTCGTGATCTACAGTAGATCGTTCAGTGGCGCATTCCACCCCAGTAACTCTCTCCGCCTTGATCGTATGGGTGTGATGCATCCTTGCACTGAGGGTTCTCATAGTCCTGGATCGTACCCATGGGCCAAATGGGCACGACACAAATCTCATTCGCCGCACAGCCACTGCACTCCTTCCACGTCGCCCAATCCAGATAACCAACCAGATCCCGAACAACCTGAACCGCAGACTCAAGCTCCTTTTCCTTCCTTGCCTCAATCAAAGACGAGCAGATTTTGTGAGCAACACCGTGAACAGCCTGCGCCGCAAGACCGCCACTTTCCAAAGATCCCGACGGCAAGAACTGAGTCGCACAACGCTCACTCTCAGCATCATCATCCCGATCACTGTAGTCAATGAACGGAGACAGAACACGCTCAATCTCAGCCTGTAGCCGCTCGATTGAATCAATGCTACCGGAAATAAAGTATGACAGCTCCTTACTGTACCGAGTCACGATCATATCCGTAATCGCCTGCCAGTCCTCGCTGACATCGGCAGGATTCTGCGTCAAGATTAGACGTGTGACTTCGGTAAGAAGGAAAGCGCGACTTCCAGGAGAGAGGCTGGTAAGTCGGGGGAGGGTTGAATTGTCTTGGAAGAGGTCGACATTGTGAGAGAAGGCTGTCACAAAGTGGTTGAAGTTCAGCGAAACACGGTTTCCACCGATTCCGTTGTAGCGTGCGGTGATTGCGCGCATCCACCGCGATGAGTCGAGGCCGCCTCCAGGCCCGCGGTGGGGAGGTCCTCCAGGACCACCAGGACCACCGGGGCCACCGGGGCCGTGTCGCTTTCCATCATCATCCTCCGTCCTTGGGCCATGACCGTTGTGGTGCTTGTCATCACCCTCTTTGTGAGGACCATCCCAGCCACCATGTTCACGGTTACCCCGTTGTTCCTCAGAGTTCTGCTTAACCTGTGTGATTCTCACAGGAGTTAAGTCGCGGTCAAAGTCACACAGGATAATCTCAAAGCCAGCTTCCATGCGCAGCACACCGTCAATGCAACCCTCCCATTCCTTCTCGGCCATCTCGCAAGCTAGTCTGGCGCGTTCGCTCTCTTGCCCATTACCCCGACTCGGAGAATCATCTAGCGCGCCGTTGAACAAAATCGCATCCTGAGAATCAAGGGTTCCCTTCGATGTCTTGGCAGCAGACATACCGTCGAGATACAAAAGGCGGAGATCCTTGGCAGCAGCGTACGTATGCAAATACCCGGACTCATTATCATCGAGTGCCTTTGGTGGGCGACCACCTGGCGGGCCATGATGTTTCTCATCTGTGTCCTGGTGTTCCCGCTTCCGCAGCTCACCATGGCCTCCAACCTGTGGCTCGGTATCATCATCGGAGGGTAAGTGTGGCGGGGGCCCGCGTCGGGGCCGGGCGAAGACCATGGCATGTTCGGGCTCGAACGCCAACCACTCGGTGCCATTCACCGGGGTGGCCTTGGAGGTTCCGTGGTAGAATTGTGTACCGGCGGGAACACTCGCGAGGAAGAACGAGACGCCGTTGTGGTGTAGAGACGATCCCCACTGGCGCATTGAATCCTGGATCACGTTGAAGATGTAATTTTCATTTTTGATCGGGGTTTCGTTGTCTGGGGCCTTTGAGAAGGCCGTTGATAAGCCTAGAAGCCCGCATAGCGGGATGAGTGATGGTGGCCGCATTCTGGAAGAGACACTACTCTGATAGAAGTGTGAAAAAATCGACTATATTGGAAAATTTTATCAGATCGTAGATCCGGCTGCATTGGCGGAAAAAGCTCCGTTCATATATCAGGCTACAATAACGTACTATAGAAAGCCGCGTCATCAATTCGTGGCTATCCACTTTCTGGTAGTTCGGCCCGACACTAGGAGATAAGCAATGGCGAGTGGAGAGTCAGGTCGGCCGAGTTGGATAGTGGACATAATCCATGGCCAGAAATATTATGTATTACAGGTACACTTATCTAGGTAGGTCGACCTCAAGCCAACTCAAGGGATGACTTCATTATTCCCGAAGTGGTGCAATCGATTTCTCCCGAAAGCCTTCGGGATGTACTGCTGTGGTTGCGTACTCATTTGGGTCTCGGAATCAAAAAGTATGTTTTTTTTACGGCTTTCGTATACAAGTAGACAGACATCTCAAAGGATATCTAAAAAAACATCTAGTAAGACATGAGAAGGCCGCATAAGTGGCCGACTATTCGTGTTTGTAGTAAAGGAGAACCTGATTCCATTAGACCTAGGAATGGTGTTTAAGGATACATTGTCATCAACTAGCTAGGGTAACTATAACACGCAGGAGACAAATCGGCAATCTTGGGAATGAAGCCATAAGAAGTAAACAAAGCACCAAGGAAAAATAGATTTATCTCGGGATCTGTTGCGGGAAGTCTACAGTGCTTTTGATAGCTCGTAGCAGATGCCTAGATTTAATAAGCATAGGTCCAATCATCACCACATCAGCGGGTGTGATCTCTCGACATTTTGACAGAAAATGAGCGGACATTGGGACACTTGAGATGCGGTAACGGAGTTCCACAAGAGCCTCCAGCACATCATTAGTGTATGAGCGGATTGGCTATCTACCAGACACTGTTGCATATTGTGGGTGAATTTGAAGTGTCAAAAAAAGATCTCAATTGCAACGTGGTTTACCGGCCTTCTGTTCATACCTGTCTGAAGCTGATTGTCTCTTCTGTATGTTCCTGACGAAAGGACATAATAGTGTGGGTAATCGTCATGCGTGTCTTCATATTGGATATGACACGGTAAGCTCGTGCTCAGGAATAGGTGTGATACCCGCCTCTCAGCCTAATTTGCGATTCAGGTATGGCTGTATTTTGTTAGCTTTGAGCACCAGAGAGATCCTCAAGTCTCGTTAAGTGAGCTAACTGACCTTAGGGTGAGGCAGCTCATCACCCAAAGCAACCCTCATAGCAAGGACTCACCATTGCTATATATTAATACCTTCGTCTGCTACAGAAAGTGCCAACGTTGAAAGTGAAGAGAAAATGAAGGCAGAGGCGAAATTACCCTGTCTATCCGACTCGGCCAAGGAATGCGATTTTATTAGTTTCATGCGTATGGAATACTGTATTCGCCTTCGCACGTATACTTCATTGGAGCTTCAGCTAGTTGTAATTCAACGAGTGAATCGAAGAAGGGTCTGCTATGTATTTCACCTCTGTTTCACCCTACATTTCAGGTATACTACAGACAGAGAGAAGGGTGAGAGCAGTGTGAGGATAGTCCATCTTCCTTATGAGACCAGTAAAAAATAAAGTCCACAAATTTCATGTAGGGCGTGTGTACCCCGTCGGCTCTACCTGTTCCGTCATGGGTATAGTCGTAGGGCTGACGCAAACTGCAGGTACAGGGGTAACGGTGACGTCACCGTTCCTGTTGACACCTTGAGGACTGAGCGTCCTCGGGCAGTAAAGGAATGAACGCCGTAGTGTACGGACAGACGGATCGTTGTCAGTCGTCGTCTGTGACTGCGGGTTCCTCCGATCTGATTCGATTTGATTCGAGCAAGGTGATGGTGGAGGAGATGAGTGTCCAACCACCAAGGGCGACGGCCTGACGAAACGTTCACGTGTCGTTTATGATGCTGTTTAAAAGAAAATGCTGATGACAGGCGAAACACACTGTCGTCAAAAAATGTGCTGGCGTCGCCAGAGACGTGCTACCAGTTGTAAGCCTGAAAGCTAGGGGAAGGTAAAGATGATGTATTAATCTATCTACCGGAGGCTAGATATTCTGGCTGACGGCTGATATCAGCAGCCGACGGGTTACAGCGTGTTCAAGCCAGACGTTTGTGAGACTGTTTGATATGAGAATAAAGAACTTTGTATTGGCTCAAAACGAATAATTCCTGGTCACCCGGACAGTAGATGGGTAAGTCGCGACATCGGCTATGCCGCTCTTGGGATGTTGATAATAAATTTCCAATCAGAAAAGCCCTGCCCAAACTAGTCCGAAGATCTGATTATCCAAGTTCTCTTCTTCATTCAGAACAGTCATCGTTTCGTAAAATGTCTCCATTCGGTGATTGATAAGATTGAAGAGGATATCGACGTGCTGGGGATCTAGGAAGCTGAGGCCAAATGTCATCAGCTCCTGGTAGACGACAATGGTGTCCCAGAATTCCTGAAGGAGCTTGTCGCGAACAGCGGCCCGTTCGATATCTTGATGATGGATGTCCATCAGGACTTCTAACTCGGTATCGTTGAGGGAAAGGATCGGGGAGCCTTCTGACATAGCTATGTATTGTCAGCTTTGTATTGTGAAGATTGCTTGAAGTGAAACTGAGAGATATCCGGCTGACTTGTAAAATCCCAACGGGCTCCTAGGCAAAAGAGACAAAAAAGAAGAAGATAACGTCGCAGAGAAAACTTCGAGAAAGACATTGGGTTAGCTTTAAGTCATTACACACTGTTGTTATAGGCTGGGGCAACTTACTGGTAACTCAGCTGTGTGGAATTACACAGTGCAGAAATGTGAGTGGTGCGGGTTGTTGAGAGTACAAGGATGGTGGAAGACTTGGATAGATGTGGAAATGGCACAAAATTACAGGAAGAGGGGGGCTTCAACGTTAACAAAAAAGCAACGAGAACCTCTCATTTGGTGTTTGCATGAAACATTCATATAATCCTCGTCAATTCAAAAAGGTCAAGTATGTCTCGTCGTTTAAGTTACCACTGTACTGGACCCTCCGAAGACCAGAAAGCACAGACGGTGCATTCTTGGAATAGAGACAGAGATAGCGATCGACGCAGGGTGCTAGACTGGAAGACCAGAGGTCTGGATATCTGGGTTTGCTACCTGCGACAGTGGGGTAGGAGACAACCCTATAAGGGAGCCTGGCCTAGAGTCTGAGCCCATCCATCCCATGTATAGCTTTATCCGGGCTCCGAGGAATTCTCGTCTAGACTAGTATGCAAGAACAAAGAAAGAAAGAAAGAAAGAAAGCGAAGCTCAATGATTCCATCCGATGTATCATGGACCTGGCAATGGCACAAAGCCATGTGGAATCAAGTTCGCATGGTAGGAGATCTACCAACGCCTGGAATGCCGTGTGGAGGAGTCGCGCTTCGCAAAATTGGGGTATCTCTCTGGATCCGTCGAGTGGTGCGGTAACGGAGGTCCATTAGGACGTCCGACTCGGAATCATCGAGCGAGCGAATTGGGAATCCCGGCATTTCTATGTATTGTTAGCACTGCAGCAACAGGGGAAATGCTGGGAATTTAACTTTCACTCAGTTCTCATCAACAAGGCCATTGAAACTGCTGGGAGCTATAATGAGAGTGTGGTCATGTAGTTGTCAGTTGTGGGGTTTTATGTGACCGAGAAAGGTTGTTTAGGCAGTGTAAATAGGGGGAAACGAAAAGGAAAGGAAGAGAGTGAGAAGGCCTTTGTATTGTGGTGAGTTAAGGACTGGTATTTGTTTGGACTAAGAGCTCTAGTGTCTCAGCAGTGCATGAGCTCATGTCTCGAAATAATAACATACAGGAGAAGGCTTAAGTGCAGGATATAATTATGAAGTGTCACCTATAATCGGTTGAGGGTAGAGTACGCCGTAGTCTATGGATCATTTGAGAATCGAGTAGGTATTCATATCATGTGTCAACACCTCCCCACACCCTTCAAACGTCTTCCGGTCTTGTTCTTCTTCAGACACCCACGGGATAAAGTCCTCATTCAAAGCTTCCATCCGACGTGAAATTAACCTGAGAACGGCCCAAAAGCTTGCGAGGTTAAGTCCCTGTTGGGAGAACCCTAGTCACCTAGTAAGACGTCGACAAACCTCGCTTCTTGGTGGAGACAGGAGCGTAGCCTAGTATACACAGTGGCTCCATAACAAAGGTCTACTAAAATCTCCAGCTCTGAATCATCGAGTGACCGAATCTAAAATTAGGCCATCCTAGATCTTGTTAGCTTGGGTGGCCCAAGGTATCTTCAAGTAGTGTTGATTGAGCTTTCTAACTTTGAAATAAGACACTCTTCAACAGTAAGGCTCGTTCAAGGTAAGTTTGGGAATAATGACTATTATTCAGTTATTATCGGGAGCGTCTTTTGAGGACTGGAAAACTCGCTTGAGGTGTGGGTGTAAGGTCTGAGCTCAACAAGAAGCGTTGGTTGGATAGTGTAGACAAAAGTGAGAAGTAAGAATGACCGACTGATAAAAGACAAGGTAAAAAGAAAGAAGTAGAGGGTGAAGCAATATTTGTTGGATGAGAAGTCCAAAACTGGCAGGAGCAAGATTCCATCCCTGATCTCCATCTCTGGCTTCTTCATCGTTTTCCAACGGTTCATTCTCGGCTTCAATATCACCACCGGAGAGCGAGTTCGAGGCCTGTTGTTTCCATTAAATGATGCTCTTTTGTTCTTTTATTTTTCCGTACATTTACAGGTTTGCATTTGCCCTCTTGAAAGTTCCTCGTTGGACATGCCGCTTATAATTGGCAAAGGCCCTGAACGCGAAAAGATGGAAGTGACGCAGAGGCAATTTACGCTGGGCACAAAACCATGTTCAAAAAATACAATGCAATAACGACCCAAAGTCATTATATTAATATAGAAAATCCAAACTGGAACTGTAATGATAGTCTGGGGTGGTAACTGAGGATAAATTAAAGTTGGGTTATGCCAGTTGAGTGAAATGCCTCTTATATATGTGAGTCAAACAAAGAACAAAGGGTTGGACAGCACAAACAACAATGGTCAACTAAACGTAGTTTGTAAATATATAAGCCTTTGATATCATCAGGTTTGATATGTATCTGCGCGTTGAGAAAATCATTGGCAGAGTCATGTTTGAAAATATAGCTCAGCATCCTAAACTATAATTGTTTTCCGTTGATTTGATGTACATAAATAGACTTGAATTCACCCATTATGAATTGGTCTCCACTCTTAAACCGTAATTTATGCATTCATAGGTCGCCGAGCATTATGTGGGGTTGTCAAAAAGTGAAGTTGGAGATAACAAGTGTTGTTTAAATGAACCTTTGAAGAATCCCATTTTGTTATATTCACTGATAGGCTCGTTGGGTACTATATTTGCATGTACATATACGAGGTATCAAAACAAAACCGAGAGAATTAAGATGTGATCTTAAAGTGAATTACTCATATATATAGGGAGACAACAAGGAAGGCCTTATAGATAGCCAAATAGAGAAATGATGGAGAATGCCACCTAGTTCAAATCTCTAAAATGATACCTTATTAACTTAGATCTATGTTTATCGTAGCCGCCTGTACCCATGTATCAATTACCGATTTCGAGGAATCGACTGGTGTTATATTGTAATTTGTACCATGATATTAACCTATGTGAGTGGTAGCCAAAGCCCAGCGGCTTGGATGCTAGCTGTGCTGGAGCTTGGTCTGGTCATCGGATCAAGCCTTATTTCACACCCATATCAATGTTTCGATATATTATGTTGGTTATTTCTTCACACCCTGTTCCATCAGTCAGCAACTAGGGCTGTGCGGATAACGTGACCAGGGTACAAACAAAACATGCATCGGATTTGATCTTTTGATTTCATCAATCATGATCACCAGCTCTAGTCTATTCTACATATCACTGTGTAACGGAAGGTCAGCCGCGGAGACTGACAGCATAGACGTGGACCTGAGTAGCAAGGATAATAACCACGATATGCAACTAGCGATAGAGAGCTCGTAGATATGGAAAGTGGACCAAGGTCTATGTTACAATAAAAAGATACAAGACAGTAGCCCTGCTTGACGGCCTAGTCTTTGCTTTCATGTCAGAACTCGGCTTCGATGCTATACGTTATAGTAAGGAGGTGAGAACTACTAGCTTGAATGCAAACACTGACTGCCAGTGGTTTACCGGCGACGGTAAGACGGCAATTTGTCTACGGATATCAGGCCTACGCGAAGGCAACACACTACTTTACATTGAGTCCTAGCCCTGATGGAAATCTGGTTGTGGCTACTGGACTGAAATCCCCAAGGTTCTTCCCCTCCCCCCACCCCCTTTAAGGGGGCTGTATTTTCAAGGAGGAGCCCAATAGTATCAAATGATTTGCGTGGGTTGAAAATATTATTGGCTTTTAACGCAAGATATTATGTGCGCATCAGTTGTAAAAGAAAGGTTTGCTCGAAGTTAGCTTCTGTTTTCGTACAGATAGCTGCAAATGCGCCATCCAGTTGGACTGTCCAGCTCGTTTAAAGTCCCTTTTTCCGGTGGAGTGCGAGACATTCTAGAAGAAAGAATACTTGGGGGTTGGCCTGTGTTGTTGTGTTGGTTGATGACTTGTTATACATGGAAAAGCCAATTTGTATGTATGTTGAAGCCATTATTACCCGCCCCATTCCAACTGTAATACTAAACAAAAACAGCATTTAAAAAAGGGAAATGGATTTCATAGAATCCACGAAAAAAACCGAAAAAAAGAAACGTCCCCGGGAAGGCTTGAACTTCCAACCTCCCGATTAACAGTCGGACGCGCTAACCAATTGCGCCACGGAGACATTGATTGGTCATCGAACATCGGATGAATGTATTTATAGACAACTCACCTAGGATCCCCGTCTCCTTACTAAACCACAATGCGTCAGTTGAAGTGAGAAGAGTGTATATCTCGACGCATTTAGGTTGGCATGACAAATAGGGCGAGTAGAAATGAATAGGCTGGACCATCGATACTTATTTTATGAACAGGGAATCAACATAGGAAGAAGAGAAGATGAGAGGATGGTCCGTAAGGCCCCCATTACAGCCTATTTAAGGGGGTCTTAACACTTACAAACCGGTGTCTTATAATCGCTGTATGCTTATCTTCTACTAATTGTATCGAGCTTAAATTTAGAATTTATAATAGCTACACGAGTATATTTTTCAATTTTAAATAGAATTCGACGGGTAGAGGTCGAGAAAGGTTGATATTAATATTTCGATGCTAGATATATATTCCGGATCTATGCGAGAGTACTACGTGAACCTCTAGTTATATTTTATACATTGTGTAAATCATGCGTTTTCTCGCGTTTTTAAACGTGATATATAAATCTAACTGATAAATGATTTCGAGTCTACTAAAATAATAAAATGTTACCTCGAGATAAGGGCTGGTCTAAAAACGGGGTCTAATCTGAACGTTGAATTCTAGGCCTATTCTACACCATGATTCAATACACATTCTTCCCAAAGAAAAACAGCTCGGTTGGTTTTATTCTAACATATCTCTCACATGTGTGGGTGGTGGTCCACATTGCCAATGGTGGTGTCTTTTGTTGATGTGGACGATCCTCTGAAGATGAAATTCAAGCCTGGTTGGATATAATCAATTAATAAGCAAAATGCATAGTAAGAAAGTCACATGTTTCAGCGATAAAAAGACAGGATAACTAATGTAACACCTTGTTTATTGACAGTAATAACAAGACCAGATCTATATTGTCTAGAACGGTACGCTCTCACACAGTGACAGGTGAGTATAGGTGAAATGAGTGAGAAGTCTGGAGACCGGGATGATAGAGGTGAGAATGGGGCAAGAGCGGGCGAGAACAGGCTAAGGATTGTCACCCTGTTTCTCTCTGAGACCAGACAGGTGGGCGGGGAATCACAGGTTAAACTCATCTGAGAATCACTATTTCAACTGTGCGTAGCCTAGACCGCCTACTTCTCCCATAACATTAATCTATCACTCTTAAACACATATCCGTATCCAGTCATCCACCTTATGTTCTGATGCCAATAATTCTACTAAAGCGGCCAGGCGCTTTTATTCTCCAGGTTCATCAAATAGTCGGTGAAGTGTGACCACCAATTCAGCCCCGCATTTCTCGCATGTGGCCGCCGTCGAGACATTGTTGAAATCGCACTTTGAACAGCTCATCTGATGAGTGGGCGTGAGAATGAAAGAACGAATGGGTTTCAGTTGGAAATATGTATTGGTTATCTAATAATGGTGATTGGTGAGCTCGATTAATGTAAGTCTAATCCCTGTGATGTACCTACCCAAAGACGAAAGTGGGAGAACTTGTAGGAAATACAAGTTGTGAAAGGATGCGACGATATGAGTTCGACAGTTGAGTGAGCGAAGGTGGGAATAGATAGGCGGGGCACGCTGACGAGGTCCACCACGGGTGATTTTAGGCTGACAGTACGTTAGCCCCAAACTGTTTGGCAGATGACTGAGCTTACAGACATTATCTTCCACCCTGCCAGTTCAGAACTTCGTTCCCTAATCATCCAATCTATCTTTGATTAACCCACTATTTTATCCTCGTGACTAAGATCTTGCATCTCTAACTCGCTTGTGGGACTTCGGGAAGTCTTCCTCAGCCGTGAACGTTTGGGACAGCACGATCCATAGTGCTGCGATCCTCAGGCCCTTGCGAAACTCCGTCGACTACTAGTGTCGACGTTCGTTGTTCAAGGAAGACATATTTTGCTCCTTATCTTTTAGCAGCGAGCGTAATTCACTAGCAGCAGAAACTTCTATTCTCACCCGCTCCATCATGACAGACCCTTTAAGTGTTGCGGCTAGCATTACTGCTCTTCTTGGCTTGACTACGTCGTTGGTGAAATACATCAATGATACATTAAATGCATCGGACGATAAAAAAAAGTTATCAGCCGAGATACGCGATACCACCGTTGTCCTTGCAACGCTGCAAGAGCTAGTTCAACCTCATACCCAAGAAGATCTGCTACCCGCGGCTGGGAGCCTTGAAGGTCTCGCCAGAATCATGGCTGGCCTTGAAAAGACGCTAGTGCCTCTGAAGGCAAGGTTGAATAGTGATGGGAGGTCGAAACTGAAAGGGGGTTTAGCTTGGCCCTTTCACGAAAAGGAAGTGCGCGAGACCCTTGCGGCAGTTGAGCGACATAAGATGTCGCTTAGCCTTACATTACAAGATATTCAATTGTGGGCCCACAAATCCCTTCCCTTGATGAGACCCTAATGTTGATTATACAGGAGGATGTCTCAAGCAATCACGGAGAGAATCAAGAGTTTGCAGATCGGTATTGATCATTTAGCTATTGCAAAAACCGGTCGGTCAAGTCTAACTATTCTACATTTCTTTAATATAACGCTAGTTCTAACATACGCAGAATTACAATTCGATGAAGCCTTGCAGTTGCTTTCCGCACCTGACCCGTCGACTAATCATAGAACGGCATGTGAACTATATGAGCCGAATACCTGCTCGTGGCTCGTAGACTCAGAACGCTTCAACCGCTGGCTCAACTCGCCTTCTATTCTTCTACTATCTGGAATCCCCGGGTGCGGTAAAACTGTCCTCTGTTCTGCAGCAATCGAACGCGTCAGGTCCCACGTGATCGGAAAATCGGGTGTTGGGCTTGCGTATTTTTATTTTGATTTTCACGAGGAGCACAAGCAAAGCGTGGAAGGACTTCTACTTTCGATCATCGTTCAGTTGGTGTATCAACAAGAGAAGCTGCCTGTTCAGTTCAGGTCGCTTTGTGACGATTTCAAAGAGCACCGGGGCAGGTTGCGTGGAGAGAAATTGTTGAAAGTTTTTCATGCAACTACTGAAAAATTTCGCCGAGTGTATCTAATCCTGGATGCATTAGACGAATGTGGCGAACGGCAAGGGATTATGAACTTGATTTCTAATCTTGTTCGCTCTCACGCAGGATATAGTATATTGGCCACAAGTCGTGACACTACGGAGATCAGTCGTTCCGCTTTAGGACAAGTTTCAAAGAATGTGATCTACATGTCACTCGATGATGTGAATATGGACATTCGGACCTATGTGGTCAACTCTCTATCGAGGGATCCCAAGTTGCGAGAGCGGCCAAACCATGTCAAAGCAGAAATAGAGGCCGCATTGACTTCGGGTTCTCATGGAATGTGAGTTTGGTTTATCTCTCCTGCTAGGATATCTCTCATGGCATTAGGTTTCGTTGGGTGGAGTGCCAACTGCAGCATCTGAGATCTTGTCTCACCCTCAGAAGTGTTAGAGAAACTTTGCGATCGATGCCAAAAACGTTGGCGAAGACTTACGATATGATACTGGCGAGAATAGATACGCATTACCAGAAACAAGCGTGCGAGGTGCTTCAGTGGTTGGCCTTTAGTGTGCGACCTCTCCGATTAGCTGAAATTGCAGAGACACTAATTATCAAGCCTGGTGTCATAGCTCTGTCTGAGGAAGACAGGCTGTTTTCTGAATTGGATATTCTTACTATTTGCTCGAGTCTTATTCGGATATCTAACGGTGATGAAGTGCGGCTTGCACACTACTCTGTTAAAGAGTATTTGATGTCTAGTCAGCTCAAATCAACGGCTTTATCCTCCTTCCATATTGTGGAGCTACCGGCAAATCAATACCTGGCTCATGCATGCGTCACTTATCTACTCCTGTTGAATCAGCCTGAATGTCTTTCGCTGAAATCATTTACGAAGCTCCCCCTTCTCAGCTACGCTGCGACACATTGGCAAGACCACGCAAATATTGCTTTCCAGGCAGGCTACCGGGAAGAATCAACTAAAAATTTCCTTTGTGACATCTTGCGGCTCATGGACCAGAGTCAAGGCGCGGCTTATCTTAACTGGCTCCGCGTCTACGATCCGGATGACTGGAATCGGCGCGATCTATCAAAAAGAGAGCAAGATGTCCCCAAGAGCCTCTATTACGCGTCTCTCCTTGGTCTATACATTGTCACAGAAGCACTCATAAACCGAGGAGTTGATGTTAATGCACGAGGTGGACTCTTTGGCAACGCGCTCCAGGCAGCCGCGTTCCAAAATCACCACCAAATTGTCTGTTTACTCTTACAGAACGGCGCTGAGATTAAGCTCAATGAGGGCCTTCATTATTCGGCCCTGAATGCAGCCGCCGTGAACGGAGGTGAAGCTAGCTTCCGTATTCTGCTGGATTTAGGCTTCGCAGGAAGATGCAATGACTCTAAGATTGTTGGCAGTAGCCTGGTTGCGGCGGCCGCCTCGGGGAACGTGGAAATTGTGACGTTACTTTTAGACCATGGCGCAGACGTCAATTTCCGAGGAAATGATTCAGTGGCCCTCAACAGCATCCTTGCTGACAGTTCAATCGCTGCTGCCTCATTTCAAGGCCACAAGGACGTTGTACAGCTATTGATAGCTCGGGGGGCGGATGTCAATGCGAAAGGGGGCCGCTACGGCAATCCATTGCAAACTGCATCACGGGCAGGTTTTGATTCCATTGTGGAGCTTTTGATAGATTATGGTGCTGATGTTAACGCCCAAGGGGGAGTTTATAAAACAGCGCTCCAAGCTGCCTCGGCCGGCGGCCATCAAAGCACAGTCAGACTGCTCCTGGAGAGAGAAGCGAATGACACGCGCTAAAATAGATATTAGCCACTACAGGAAATAGGTTCATCATATATCAGGGATCAAGAGACTAATCACCAAATAAAGAAATGAAAAGTCGCAAGATGCGGAGCTAGGCACACGCTAGTACTTGCCAATCCTGCCAAAAAGAGCGATTTATCAGATAGCATAAAATGACGCTGTATCTTTGGTTTACATGAAGGTAACGCTCCAGTATATTTGTGGACGACAGTCTTAGATACACCGGATCCACAATGGCGCACGGCTGCATGGAACCAATGTCCAGAGACCTTGCAGCGCATGATTGATGTGCATCCTTCCGCAAGAGATTACAAGATTGCGTTGAATGGACTTATGCAACGCCATCTTTCTCACGAAATAGACGGTGAGCTCTGAGTCAAAGTGCCAAGTCCCAAATCACTACGCTAATGTTCGGGTGTAACACAGCTAGCAATAGATCAAATAGCCAGTCTGCCTGTGCAGAAGATCACCCCCCTCCCCGGGAACTCGAGCTCCCCGATGGGCTCAGAGGCCCTGTATCCTCACACGATGCATTGAGTCTATTTGAGTCTATTGCTTGCTCATTGGGATAGCAGATTGGAAGATATCATGCTTCTTGTGCAGCTGTTACAGGGTGTGGATGAGGAACTTCCGCTACCAACATTATTTTAACAGGGTTTCCGAGCCCGAAATTGGTCCGGATGTATCCCATAAGATTTACCCCCATCAACATGATATTCTTCCGACGGCTGTTAATTAAAATTGTTGCAAGCTACGTAGAGTTATATGCGTGCGACTTTCTAAAAACGTTACCAGGCTGCTTGCCACCTATACTCTGAAATATCTGTTCCTCCAGTGAACGATGAATAAGCTCTGAATTATAGTGCATATTAACAGAATTGTACATTATGTTACCTCATCGAAGATGTAAAGCCGTACTCACATCCTACTGTATATTGGAGTGGTTTTGAACTGATAATTTCCATTGAATAAAAATAATTGCTGGATCCAGGTGCAAAGCAGGCGAAGAAGGAAAAAAGAATTCAGACAGAAAAATGCCGAGAACTAAGAACTGGCACAACGAGAGGTAAACCTAGGATAAAGAGATGAAACCAAGGATGGGATCAGATTTAGTTTGCATTCAGGATTAGGGAAATCAAGACGAGGTCGACCCCCATCGAAAAGATTTCAGCATTTGCACAGTATTGTAGACATTACGCCAGATTCCGCGGTCAAGCTCCCGATGAGCAGCAAGAATATCATCCACGATCTGCTGCAATGGTCGGTCCGTTGTGGTAGTAGCAGCATTGGCTGCAGCCAGTTGATCTCGAAGTCCCTCCAGCTGACGTTCAATACCTCGGCTTTGCCTCATCAGCCGCGTCTGCGCAACCAAGTGCTTGGTAATTTCCTGGCGCTGCAATGGTCGTATAATGGTGGCGCCGGCTGTGCCGTCATCTGGGCGAGGAGTGTGGGTGTGAGAATGCAAGGGGTTGCGTGCGGGGGTTTGAGGGAAGTTTGTGGAAGCGTTACCTTGATGAGGGTTCATCAAACCAGGTCCAGCTGTAGGTGGAGGAAAAGTACTGGATATCTGCACGTATTGGCAACAGTCGTCCCTTTCTTCCCAATGGCAGTTGGCGCAAGCTGAAAGGCCACCGATGTTGCGAACCGAGATACACTGGGAGAATATGCCAAACCGTTGTAAGCATCTCGTGCATTGTAGCCCATTCTGTTGGCCCACGACCTGCATCAATGCCGCTTCCACGCGGGGCAAGTTGTCGTTCATCTGTCGCTGAAGGTTTTGGGCCGACAAACTGATTCCAGGACGCAGGTACGGCTCTCGCTGATTGGGCATCGCATTCAAGGCGTTCAAATATCTCCCTTGCAGAATATCACCGTCTCTGGCCACTCTAAAGGGCAGTTTGTGGATATGGATGGCCCATGGGCCAGGTGCTCTCATCCCATCACCTCGCGCTGGATTGGGAGGAAGGAAAGTTTGTCCGCCAGTCAGCCGACCTCTGCGGCTGAAGTTTTGACTATTGATATGAATATATGCACTCAGAATGCTGACCCAGGAAGGGAAAGGGTAACTTACTTGGTACCTTCCATGCTGGCCTTCGTGAAGATAGGCCAAAGGGATGACTTGAGAGTGAGCCTAGTGAGAGGAAGTGGCATCGTTAATTTTCTAAACCCAGAGACTCACAAAGATCAAGGGAGACAGGAATAACTTACCACAGGTATAAGTGCAAGTTTGCAATATGTGGATATGATGAAAAACAACCTGAAACGAAAAACCAGAGCTCGTGGTCAAGGTTGAAGAAGATCATGAGAGAAGTTTGCTCAATGTGCTCTCGGGTTGAGGACCCGCCTTCCATTCTGTTGCCTATATTATGTTTGATCAACAAAGAGCTCACAATTCGATTTATCTGTCTGTGTCTCAACTTACACTGACTTGAAGCAGTCAACCCATTGAAAATAGCCCTACTGCATCCTCTGGGCTATCATATACTTTGATATACGCTAATCCTAATATGGAACACTACTCCTCATGGGGTTTAGCCTTTATTGAACATGGCCATAATGATCGGCAGTTAACAATGGCGCAGTTCTTCCAAGGTTTGATCTAACTAACTTCAATTTGAGATGAATTTCGTGTTAGATCTCATCATAGGGTGACTTCAATTGTTGTAATGTTTATTTTTGGGTGATCAATACTGTGTGTGGGAACGATAGGCCCCATGGTTGATACCGAAGCCAAATGCGAGCTTTCAGACGGGTCCATTCAAATGTCGGCAGTTTATAACCTCGACAGCAACTCGTGGACTAGACTTTCTCCGCAAGATTGTCGGCTTCACTGGGGTAAGTCCGGAGGTCAAAACTGTGGGGAAGCTTCTCGAGATTCTACTGTACGAGGAACTGTACTGGACGTCAACCTTGGAAGTATCTCCGATTTACGAGAATCGGATCAAATTTCCTAGCGGATAAAGTCCAAGCAGAGAATGATGAAATTGCCAGGCCGTGCGAGGCCCTTCAAACCCCCCGTGGGATGGTGTGTGGGGAGAATGTGGGAGAAGCGGGAAAGATTTACTCCGCTGCCATGAAGCAAAATGTAAATGGCAGGATCACTCGGGCATTGCACCTTTAAGGATCTTGTTTTTAAAGAGATTCCTCGCGCTATTTTATTTAAATATCTTTCCTTTGACGCATTTTAAATAGTCTTATTCCTTGTTGTGTTAATATTCGTCACCTATATATCGTTTCCGCACACCCTGGGTAAAATGACGAGAGCACCTCAAGATTTACAAATCGCCATTTTGGGCGCGGGTATGGGTGGCCTGACTTCTGCTTTGGCTCTTGCTCAGCAGGGCTTTAAGAACATTGATGTTTATGAAAATGCCAATGACCTCGGCTTTGTCGGGGCTGGTATTCAATTGGCACCTAACATGGCCCGCGTTTTGGATGGACTCGGTGTCTGGAAGGGCATTGAGGCCGAGGCTGTGAATATTGAAGACACATCAGTGCGAGGTATGTTGCTATCTACCAATCAAACAATGTAATGCGATCTAATCCAGGGCTACAGACGGCGCAACGGATACTGAGCACGCATATGTGGATCTGCGGTACATTGAAAAGGCATACGGATATAAACACATGGTTGGCCACCGTGCATCACTAGCCAACGGACTATATAACGGCTGCAAACAGCACTCGTCAATCAAATTCCACTTCGGAATTAACGCAGATAACGTGGACTCCTTCGGCCCTCGGCCATCGTTCACAGCTAGGCCCCGCACCGAGGGAGCTGCTCCATTCAAGGTCGATTGTGATGTGCTTCTCGCTGCGGATGGTATTAAGAGTGTCACCCGCGTGGAGATGCTAAAGCGATTGGGTATCGACGTTGGTGTCAAGGACACCCAGCAGGCTGCTTATCGTATCATGATCCACAAGGATCAGGTCAAGGACGATCCCGAGCTTTTGGCCCTCATCAACAGCAACCGTGTGACCCGCTGGATTGGCGCAAAGCGTCATATTATAGCCTACGCTGTCTCCAACAATACTATCTACAACCTCTCGACCACCCAGCCCGACACCAACTTCGCAGCCGCTACAAACGCTACCTACACCACCAAGGGCTCCAAACCTGCCATGATGGACGTCTTTGCTGATTTCTGTCCCATGGTCCAGCGCATGCTAAACTACGTTCCCGAAGGCGAGGTCTGTGAGTGGAAGCTGCGCGTCCACGAGCCGCTCCCTACTTGGGTTCACGACTCCGTCGCCTTGGTTGGTGATGCTTGCCACCCTACCCTACCCCACCTGGCTCAGGGTGCTGCCCAGGCTATTGAAGACGGAGCTGTTCTCGGTGTGGTTCTCTCCAAGCTCCCCGATACCACACCCCAGTCTATCAACAAGGCTCTCCGTGTTTATGAGAAAGTCCGCAAGAGTCGCGCTGAGGCTTTGGTTGACATGGCTAGCGCTTCCGGTCGTGCCTTGCACCTGGGTGACGGTGCTGCCAAGGAAGAGCGTGACAAACAGTTCGCTGCCCTTCGTGCTGGCAAGGGACCTGTGCCTGATAAGTGGGCTGATGCTGATGTGCAGCGTGAGATCTACGGCTTCGATTGCACCCAGGTCGCCGCGGATAATTTCGATGAATACTTCTCGCAAATGTAAGCATTTTTCTTTATCTATTTTTGGCCTTTTCTTGCGTATTGGATATTTTCTTTTTGTATACTTATGGCCTTTGAACTACGCAGCAGAAGAAATGAGAATATCATGACACCACCCGCTTTTCTTTCCTTGAAGAACATGGTACTAAACTTCTTTTCATTTTTACAGGGATATTACACCACGTCACTCTAAACTTGCATGAAGGCTGCTCAATTGGGCTGCACATAATGTGTCCCATAAATTAGATCAATAGTACCGAATATAATGACGGGGCGTACTCGAGCGTGGAATTTCAACGACACATCCATGTCATATATAAGGGCAATTATACTCCCACAATCATTCTTAGCCATCGTCCATATATTAGCTGCCCAATTTATCGAGACCCGCACTCTCTTGTAAAGGTATTTGAATCGCAAATCAACGTTCGATAGCTCCGAAAAATGAAGATTTTCGATTTTCGATTTGTTGAAGCTGTTTATAGGTAGCCTCTTTAAAGGTCTTCCAGAGTCTTTTGGAAGAGTTCTTGCATGCCGAAACGTTGGGGTCGGTGTAGTAGTTGAGCCGCAAAACAATCTGCGCGATGGCCGGCTTTGCCTATCAGCATCGACGCGAACCTCCAAGTCCACAGATTCGTCCAGCTGGGTGCATTAAAGCAGCGTCATGTTGTTATTTCCATACTTCTGATCATTTCAGATAAATGCCTTTTCCAGCAGTATGTGTACGGCATGATTTATCGATTCTCCAGGCTAATCAGACTGGTCACAGACTCCATCACCATTCCGCCTCTCCCGCCGCAACCCACCTACGCGCCGTAGTGGCCCTCAGTTCGCACCCACACCTCGGTTTTTGCTATCACAAAGTGCAAAACAAAAGGAAGAAGATGTTCTTGACGTGATAGACGACGATGAGCCATCTTCAACGCGTGAAGTCGCGCGGAACCCGCCTGCTACCCAGGGTGCCACCCGCGCGCGCCAACCACGCGACGTGATCGAGGACTCTGCTGATGCCGCAGATATAGAGGATATACGGATCGGAGGCATAGCTGTGAATAATTCAGCAGACGATGCCATAGACAGCACTCCTCCCGAAGAACCAGAGACTCCCGGCATCCTGGACGCTGAGTTCGATGCACTATTTGAGCCGGTCAGAGATGGGAATAAACGGCGCCGTGTGGAGGGAGCGATGCCCTTCAACCAAAGCAATCTAACACAGGTTGATCCAATATTGTCATCATCACCCGGGACTGCGAACCCTCCAGCCGATCCCATCGGTTTGCCAGATAAAAGCAGGCAAAGCACTATGACATGGGATATGGGCACCCAGAGAACTCCTGCACCAGGTGAACGTCCATCCGCACCACCCTTATCAATGCCAAGCAACATAAAAACGCCATTCCGCAGTCGTCCTCGGTTCATGCTTTCCTCAATGGCGAAGCCTCCCAGCAGCCAGTCCGCACCCAAATTCAAACTAGACACACCGGGTATATCGCCTCCTGAGAGACGGAAACCGGCTTTTGTTTTGCCTCGCTCACCGTCGCCGAATCTGGATGCAGAGGATATCCCTGCACCGTTCTCTCCCTCCTCGCGCACACTGCGTCGTCGTGGTCGAAATCGAGCCGGTGTGTCCAATTATATTCCTGGCGGAATGGCCGCCGAGGTACGAGGCTGGATTTTGGAAATGGGAACGAAACGTGACCAGTTACCAAAACCTCCCTTGGCTCAAGCTCCAAACTCGCAGGCGCCGGATGCCTCACTGGAGAAGCTGAATGCGTATCTCCTGACTGCGCGTGCCATTCATGTCAGTCAGTCAGCTCTGAGCGGATGCGGCGCTCTCACCTTTCTTCAAGCAGAAGTGCTTACTGGGAATCATGTGCAAGGGAGAAATCCCAATGCGCCCTTGAATATCATGATTATGGGACCTTCCCGGTCTAAATCCGCTGCTCGTCCAATTCCCTCGCATCCGGGTGCCAGTGTAGCACCCCATCTGCGGAAAGGGGATCTGGTGGGGATTCACAAAGGTCTCAACTGGAATTTGGAGCTTGGGAATCCCTTCTGCGAAGATGGAATACCTGGTGAAGTAGCTGACCGTGTGTCGGAGTGTGGTCCATCTGAAAATGGCAGACACCCGCAGATAAAAGAGGGCTGGCTCATAGCCATGGAATGGGACCTTATCGAACCAGCTGAATAAGTGACGCGGTTTATATCGGTATAAGGAAATGAGTATCGTTTTTCTTCTATCACATTTCACAAACTTACACATGTACCTGATATAGTGCTATGTGTGTATCATGACTGATGATTTATACCCCGAACAACAATAAAATGCATATGTAACATGTGATAGAGCAATGTGGCGGCGTAAACTAATCAAATTCCAAAACCCAATTCGAGCCATAGCAAATCATTTGGGTCCATCCAATAATGAATCATCCTGCAGCTCTTGAACTTGAGATCGGAATTGCAATGACAATCTGTTGGGGATGCAAAACTCCTCTGCTTCGAGGAAAATGCCCATCTTTCTTGCTTCCGTGACATGCTCCTCATCGTAGCGGTCACGCCTCGAAAGATGCTCGATTACGCGGTCATACCAATAGCCATCGAGGAATTCTTCGAGGGGAAGGCCAAGCTCATCAAGTTTGCTTTCCATCTCTTCCATCAGTTCTTCAAATTCTCTGACCAAGAAATACTGGTCGTCCGAGATCCTACCAACTTCTATCTCATCTCTCCCTTCTTTGGGCACACTGGGCCAAAATACTCCATCTTCATCTATTTCAGTGCAGCATGTATGCGTGAGGCCCAACGCATCAAATGTCAAGGTTCTGACTACCGCCCGTGAAAAATCTGGCCATGAATCCTGCCATACAGTGAGAGAGAGGATCAATTTGCGGAGGCAGTCATCCGTGACTCGCCATCGCCATAGATATGCCGTAAAAATGATGGATCGAAGTGCCACTGAGAGTGTGGTACATCCGCCAGGAGAACAGGCGCAAACGCAACAGTCTTGCGTAGGAGATACAAAAAAGCAAGCATCTCCCAATTCGGCAACACCATTTTTCCAATTGCGATAATCTTTGTCGAGTCCATCAGAATTAAGTATGAGATGATAAATATGTCGATTAATAAATTGGGCTGTGAGAAGGTGAGCAACTTTCGCATTTGATGTCGGCAATTTCCGTTCAATACAGGCACCTCTCGACATCAACCAGGCCACACAGTCGATAAACACAGGCGCGTCGCCGGGATATAAATTAAAAAGCGTCATTAAGGGTGTTATGCCATTCTCGTCAGGCAAATCGATGTCATGGAAGCCGATTTCATACATGATATTCATGACCTTGGCGAAATGCCTAGATCGGGAGGCTAAACCGGTTTTGTAGATGGCCGTGGATCCCAGTGAATCAGCCTCAAAGTGCAATGCGATCGGGACATTTATCCCATGGGCAGCCAGAGCCCCGCATATGTTTGCTGGGGGCCCATCGAGAGGTGGAATTTGATCGAGTGGCAAAGACGATTCGGCTAGCATGCATAATCTTCTTCGTCTTGCTGCCAAATGATCGACCAGTAGTGAGCGTCTTTTACCGCCATCGTTACACTGCTCGTTGTTGACAAAATCGACCACTTTAATCACACATCCCGCTTCAAGTAAAAGAGCGGCAGAAGCGTGGTATTGCTCTCCCTCGGCTAGAGCAAGCGAAGGAAAGTGACAATGCGGATTTGCCCCTGACTGTAGAAGAATTTGTATGCCCTTCGGCCACCCAAATGCAAGTTCAAGTGCCGACAGGACACCTATCATATCATTTGGCGAATTTCCACTTGCCAAAGCTTCCCTGAGCTCTTTCTCGGACTCGCGAATGATTGCTTTGGCTATCTTCGTGGCTTCAATTGCTGGTAATTTAAGTTAGTCTTGTAAATGAATGACACAATAGACCCTTGGGGAGTGATAGTATATATACATACATTCTTCATCCTGGGAGAGAAGAAGTCGAAGATTGTGTTTCAAATTGACATAGTGGGGAGCAGTTGAAAATACTTCACTGGGAAAATTGAACTGGAGTGGCCCTGTCACCTCAACCAGGTTCAAAATCAATGGAAGATCATCCATCTTGAGGATGCCGTTAATGCAAATATACAACAGTGGCCTACGTGTCCAGTGGCCCTGTATCTTTGACTTTATCCCACATTCCAACATGAATTGGACGTTTTTCAACGCCATCCGATAACCAGCCATTTCTTTCCTTGTTGCGTAAATTCTGAACCAGATTACCTATATTAAGTAAGAGCCATGTTTGGGGCAGGGGCTTTTTGCGAACATACATCCATGATAGTTTGAATTCCATCATCTGGGAAGAGAAAGAAAGTGTCGTAGGGAGACAATCGTTGCTCAGAGAAAGCACGTAGGAGTGTTGGAATGAGTAAACCATTTTGGTAATAGTCCAGTGTTATTTTCTTAATTTCGTTGTATCTCTCACTCTGCCACCCCCATACCCTTTGAACTTGCAAATATGGGGCAATAGACAAGCCTCCAGCCCCTCGAATCATGGAGAAAGATGCAGATATTGCTAAATTTAAAAAGCGGTTGTGATAGGTGTATGCTCTTGTCACTGTCTTTGACTGAGCCCTAATCCACACTTGTGGCCGACTCAGGAGTCGATTTCTGGAAATGGTCAACTAATGTCCATACGGCGTTTTTGTACAGGCCATACCCGTCGTGCCCTAGATCAGTTTGTACCAATGGGCCACTGTCCGAAAGCATCATCGGTAGTTGGTTGCGCTGAGAATCACACGCAAGTTGAAGTAAACTTGGCGGCGGCATGCTTGTAGATGATATAGCCATCTTGAGGGTGGAATGCATGTTCTGCATCTCTTCGTAAATTGAAATTTGCATGGCTCGGGACTCCCTTGTATCCTGCCAGTTATATCTGCCATGGTGTCAATAATCACACCCTCGAAGATATATGGCCAGATTCTATACCCACATCAGCAGTGATGTCTGCAGAACGTTCTGGATCTGATCCAACTGATTCTGCATGTCTTGCAAAGTATCTTTGTGAAAGTAATACACGCCCTTCTTCAGCTGAGCACGAAATTTGTCCGGGAAAGCCTCTGACTGCGCAGGCTTGAACCTGTCCACGATTTTTTTGAGTTTTTCAATCGAACTTTGCATGCTCCTAGCTTTCTCTTCGAGATCTGCAGCCACTTCCGGCCGTGTCTGCTGTAATTCCTCTATCGTGTCACGTAGAGTCTTCAGGAGCATGCAAAGAGCTTTCGCCTTGTTCCTCGCGTTTTGAATCTCTTCGTCATAGCCTCGCCATGCCTGACTGTACGAGACGATCCCCTGACAGACTTGTAAGCCGAGGGATATGATGCCGACAGCTGTACCCGCAAGGTCCATGTTCCGCGATGTGATGCTTCAAGATCGAATGTGGTTGTAAAAGAATTGAAGTCATATGGAAGGGATTCATGGGGGCAACCTGTCGGTCGCCAAGGAGGCAGTGCTAGTCTCATGCAGCGTGGTAAGCGTGGCCCCAATCAAACGGCTTAGCCCTAGCTGAATAAGATTAGATATTTGCTGGGATTATTTCGCGTTAAATTTGGAACATTGCCTGTAAACAAACTGTAGTTTTTCAAAAAGAAAACTTCATATAATAGTGGAATAGAGTCAGTGTATGGGATAGTTGTGTAGTCTGCTAGATTTGGATGGAGAACGACGTTGATTTCATCGTCCTATCCAAACCAACTAAACCATAGAAGATTTTACATAGTTCTTTTGAAGGTGGGGAAAGCGTGTAACGTAAACAAATCATGAGTAGCGTAACAAATTGGGTATATTCTATATGCAACTGCAAGATGATTCCAATGCAATCCTTATTCCGCCACAGCCTTAAGGGCATCCGCAGCCACATTGCATCCCCACCGAACTAGCTTGAGTTCCTCCGGGGACACAATATCAGTCTTTGCGACAACCTTTCGCACAAAATAGATAAGGCCCTTGGCAATGTGTGGTGTCTCCTTGACACGCAGGAAGATTTGCATCAAAGGCCCTTCATCCTTCTCAGGCTCATCTGGCATGGGGTTCTTGGACTTCTTCTTCTTCTTGGACTTTTGGGATTGTTGAATGATACTGATGATCAAGACTTCGACAAATGTCTTGGTCTTGGGCTGGAGGTATGCAAAGTTGAGATTCTTCAAAATGCTCAGCGTCAAGCTGCCGTCCATAATGAGGGTGCTGAACATCTTGGCCAGGTTGACCACAGACTTCATGCTGACACCATTCTCCTCATCATCTGGATCGAAGTCGTTATCTTCATCCTCATCAATATCTCCTCGCTCGCCCATCTTCTTGAACTCATTCCAAAGTGCAAACATAAAGGACATCTTGATGCGTCGACCCTGCTCACCGCAAAGACGACGCGCAATCAGAGAATAGTATGGGTTGTGGGCCTGTTCCTCCATGGCACAGTGTAGGAGGACACGAGGGATTTCAAACTCCTGCGCCCGCTTGAGACGAAGCTTCATGAGTCGGACATGTGCATCTTGGAAGTCGTTAGCAGACATGATAGCAACGAAGATCGACCGACGAACGTCGGTGTTCATGCGGTGAGCTCGGGCGAGAACTCCAAAGTCAGGCTCGCCGTCGCTTCCATCATCTTGGGCCTCAGGTTGGGTCATTTGTACACCGGCCATTTCTCTTTGTGCTGTTACAAGAGGATCTTCCTTCCAGCTTGCACCGACCAACCACCACTTGCCCTTCTTGGAGGAGTTGTGGATATCGTCACGGGAGATGTTAATAGGTTCGGATGCGCGGATCACCCGAGAGCTGTTCAGAGAACCCAAAATTTTGCGCATTTTGGTAATATGTTCTGTGGTGATACCTGCGCCAGCCGCGGCGGAGGCTTTCGAGCGGTTGTTTTTCAAATCCGTGATGAGGTCAATCATGAACTTCGTTCGAACAGAAAGACTATCCTCGCCAACTTTGGCGACAGCGGGCTGAATGAGCAATACAATATCTTTGAGCGCAGACGGGTCATCGAGTCGAAGTTGAGGGCCAGAATCTATGTAGACGTTAGAGAGCTAGGAGTTCAAACATGAGTTAAGAATATCACTTACTCCGAATAACCTTGAGTAAGAGTTCGGTGTTCGCTTCCGTGATCTCCTGCACATAAAGACGAACATAGTCAAACACCAAGGAGCAACCAATGACGTGGAAGTTGTAAAGTTGCGAGAGAAGAGAGACCAAGTTGGTAGCTTCTTTTCCTTGGAACTTTCCACGCTCGTCGCCATCCGCATCCAACGTTTCGACAACCGTTTGGATAATCTCTGCGCCAACGTCCATTCCCATGAGCTTATACAATGCCGCAATGAAACCGGCATGCAAAATGAGAAAGGTATCCTGGAGGGCAGCCCTCTCGCAAATCAGGCCCATTAGTAGGCTGATCAAAGTAGATGTGACGTGTTGGCGTGGGTAATCGCGGTAAAGCTTTTCGAATTCGGCAACAATCGAGAGCATGTTGGCCTCAGACAACTTGTTGAGATGTCCCTGGGCCTGGCGCTTGAGACGAGTGAGAGATTCGCTTTCCGGGTCTAAGCGAGCTCGTAATGAAGGTGGAATGTACTTTTGAACGGAGGGTTCAGTTTTCGTGACCGGGGCGATATAAGGATTCTCCTTCTTTTTTGGCTCCTTGCGCTCTTCCTCGTCGAAGCCATCGAAATCACTGCCTTCGGCGGCCTCGTCAGAATCATCGCCTCCAAAGATTTCCTCATCGAGATCGAGATCCTCGGCGCTGTCCATTTCACTATCATCTTTTTCGAGTTGTTGGGCTTGCAAGCTCTTGGCCTTGAGCCTCTTGTTTCGTAGCCAATCATCGGCTTCTCGTTTGCGCTTTTTGCTTTCGTCCTCTGAGGCATCGCCGCCGCCACCACCTAAGTCTCCCAGCAAATCCTCTAGCCCATCATCCTCGAAGGCCTTCGGTTTACCTCCTTTCTTGAGGCCAAGCTTTTTCTCCAATGCAGCAATCTCGGCATCGTCTTGCGCCAACTTAGACTTGACTGATCCGGGGATGTGGGCCTCAGTTTCTTCGGGTTCATCCTCGGGTTCATCTTCGTAGGCATCGTCATCCGACTCATCGTCTTCATCCTCATCCTCATCCTCATTGAGATCGATTTCTGACCCGAAACCGGACTCGGGTTCAGAGTCGGACTCGGACCCGGAGTCCTGTTGAGCTGCTACTTTCTTCAGGATAGATTTAGGCTTCTTCGCGGCCTCTTTCGTGGATTTAGACTTGGTCTGCGGCGCACTAGGTCCCTCGTCGAGATCCATGCCGTCTTCCTCATCGCTGTCATCCTGAGCCTGCTGCTGAGGCTTTTGCTGATGCCGCTGCTGTGGGCGCTCGAAGGTCTTCTTGGTTTGCGGGGCTGCGTGTCGGGATTTCTTCTGCGTACGCTCATTTTGGCGGCGTTCTTTACGCGAGGCAGGTCCGTTCAGGCGACGCTTCTTGTCACCGTAGACATCGCGGATTCCGAGCTCGGATCGTAGATCGCGAGGCAAAGCTGTCGTATTATGCCGAGGGCGGGGCATCTTGTTCCGCTGAGATGTATTTTGTCTGCTCTCAAATAGTTCAAATGTCGGTCCTCGATATCAGGTACCCCAGGCGGTCGGCAACTTTTTTCACTTTTCTGCTGCCCCAAAACGAAGGCGGAGAGACATCCACAGCGGAGTTTCTCCCCCACCGTGAGTTATGCCCAGCTGTCAATTGCGTATTGATCACCTGCTCCAGCTTTCAGATCTCTTAATTATCGCGCGCCTCAAAGAAAAGATCTCCAAATATGGCCCCACATCTGGGACACGATGAGGTAAATATTGATATTGGTGTTACCTGACCGCTACACCTCCGCACATGCGACCACGACCACCAATTCCAAGCTATATATCACTAACACCGGTCACCTTTAGTTCTTCAAATCTCTCGCCGAACTGCTCTCCAAAACCTCCCAAGAAACCCACGGCTCGGTAAATCTCACCCAAAAACCTCTCATTGATGTGCCCGGTGCCACGACCACCAACTCCCAACCATCTATCCTCATCCGAGCTACTGATGGAAACAC